TTTATGCAGCCTTTGCAGGAAGGTGGGTTTCTAAAATTCTCTACTTGGTTTCCCTTTGCTTTTAAAGAAATTCCACTAGCTTGTACAAAGCAGCTAAGGTATAAGCAGCCCCCTCTGTTAAATATTAATACTGTACACCTAGACACATCTCTCCCTCCAGAGTAGACATCAGGCATTTCCCATCTGTCTCTGGAGACCCCCACCCCAGGGCAGCCCCAGAATCCGAAGGGGGCCCACGGAGTGGACAACAGGTGCATCTGCAGCCTCATGCTCAAGTTTCCATGAAAGCGTTTTCTTTTCTCTGCAGTGAGAAGTTGGAAGGAAGCTAGGACCCTGGAGGTGGGGCTGAGCCTGTAGATGGGCTTCCTTAGGCCCCTGCTCCAGGGTGTTGCTGGGCCTCCTGGCAAAGTCTCTCTTATTCACATTCACCTGGTTTCTGTTACTATTAAAAAAAAGCTTGACTAATGCTACCTCTTCATTAAAATATCAATAAAATATTATTGAATAAATACTCTGACTCTTCTAACTTGAGGAAAGTCAATTTTCTGAACAAAGTATACAGTTGTCCTAATTTCTAAACAACCTGTGGAGCTGGGAGTAGTGGCACATACCTATAACCCCAGCACCTGGCAGGCTGGGGCAGGGGGATTGCCCTGAGAGTGAGGGCAAGGCTGGCCCAGGCCACATGGTGAGCTCAGAGCAGGCCTGAACTACACAGCAAGGCCCTATCTCAAAAACTAAAACCGAACACCCCCAAAACTAAAAATCAACCAAACAACCTATGAACAGACAGCTAACAGGGCACATACAGGGGGATTATCTGTGTTTTGGAGTCTGACAGAGGTGCTGGCCTATTCATGACAGACCCGGTACCGCAGAGGAGGTGCATCTCTTGTTCATTATCTAGTGTGTGACCTTGAACCTTCTCCCCTCTAATAAGCAGAAAGTAGTGTCACTTTCTTTGGAGTGTGAAGACGTACAGTATCTAGTTATCCATGACGGTGCTGACCCATAGTAAAGGCTCACGGAGACAATTTCTCCTTTACCTTTGCGTTCTGAGCTCCTATTTACTCAGATGAATTAAAAAAGGGAAAGCGGACTGGGCTGGCTGGTGCACATCTGCAATTCAGGCACTTTCCACGTTCCACCTCACAAGGAACCTGCTGCACCAACTCTGCCTGGCTTGAGTAATTCAGTGGCTCAGTTCTGCACAGCACGTGGTTTTCACGTGCTGCTAGTTGGTCCTGTTACAATCTTGCTTTTCTGTTATGGTGGATGACAGCATACCTAGTCGTAGCTATGGTTTCATCTCGGGTCCACAAGGCCTGCCCCTAGGCTCAGTTGTTCACACCTGCCACACTGACTACCTGGACCCTCACAGTACAGCACAGCTCAGCATTCAAATCCCAGTGCTGCTCTTGCCAGCTATGTGACTCTGGAGTCTTAAATTTCTCCGTGGGGTTGCCAACACCTTCCTGATAAGGTTATGATGAAGACTGAGCGTGGACTAGCCCCAGCACAAAAAGCTCAGGACTTGCTTGTTGACGCTGATGCTCAGGGACTAGGGAACACAGGGGAGGCTCAGAGTCGGGTTCTGGTCATACCACTGCTGGCATTTCCTGGGAGCAAGTGACTGCAAATAGCCCCTCATCTGATCCGTCTCATCTTTTGTGTGTGAATCCAATGACATAAGCAGTGGCCTCTTAAGACATAACTTGCTAGTTGATAAATCTCAGTAAGAGATGGTAAAGTCTGTGCTACTTTTTTATCCTGGATATTGCTTGGAAGAAGTGGGCTATTAAATTTGAAAAATAGGTTAGATCACAATGGGAGCTACCCTATGCATCACCTGCAGTCACTCTATAATCAACAGAATCTTTGATTTAGACCTACACTGTGATTCACCAATTTCATTCTTGCCAGTCACTGAAATCCAGGGCAAATTTCTGTCATATGTAATACAACCAATCATTGTAATTGCTAAGTTTTGTAAATGCAAAGAATGCCTATCTAACCTTCCCTCCCTTTTCAGGTATTCAACAGGCAGAAGCAAGCATTCCCCAGCGGTTCTCTTTATAAATTCTTAAAGAACAAGTTATAGCTATAATTCTTTGATAATGAAAGTCATGTGTTCTGAGATTTGACTTTAAAAACATCTAGATCATTTAAAAATGGTTTCACAATGGATCAAGTAACTGTAGGAATCATTTCTTTAGCTAATAAATTTCACAGAAAAGGACCAACGAAAAATCAAATCCAACATTCTTAAACAGAGTCTGATGCATAAACCTTTTCTATATAAATGTAATGTTAATGACTTCTGTTAAAGAAAGCCATGTAACTTCTACCCCAGATTCCAGTAGAAGGAAGCTCAAGCTACATGGTGTGGTGTGGGCATAGGGAAGTGCACACCTCTGAGGCAGCAGTCTTGGCTTCCATTGCTTAATGAGGGACCTTACATGATTTAACTCCCTTGAACCTTAGTGCCCTTATCTGTACAATGGGCTAACAATGATGCATTCCTCAAAAGGTGACAGGAAGATTAACAGTAAAGCATGTAAGTAAAGGAACTAGCATATAGGAAGAACTCAGAAAACATGAACTATGTAACTGTTACGAAGAAATACAACCTCCCAAGACAGTGACATCAAGGTGGATTTGTATTACACTGTGGTTAAAAACAGGCAGCTTTTCCCAGGAATAAGTTGATAAACAATTTAAAAGTCTGATCTCCTCTCCTCCTTTAGCCCAAGAGTTGGGCAGCAGACCATGCCTCCCTTCTTATGACAACTCGACTGGAGGGGGGCGTGGAGTCCTCCTGCTGGAGTGACAGGTGAGCCCTGCAGGCTGCCAGGGAGCAGACTTGGCAGCTCTGCGCTGTGCCCAAGCACTTGGCAAGTTCTGTCGGAATTCATTACCTCAGGTGAAAATCTCATTTAGGCTACGTGTCCTTTTCCACAAAAGGATGTTAAATAAGAATGAAAAAGAAGACAGAGTATACCTATTCATGAGAGAGAGAGAGAGAGAGAGAGAGAGAGAGAGAGAGAGACAGACAGAGACAGAGAGATAGAGAGAGAGATCAAGATCTTTTTTAGTTTCCTGTGTTGGCAGTTTGTAAAGATGCTAAAGGTTCAATTGTGGTAGTTTGTCCTCATCGGTATGTAAAGCCACTGCTGGACAGTGTTTCTATGAGACCCCAACAGGTAGCAGGAGATGGGAAAAAGGAACAGGGGAGGCCCCCCTATGTTCCACGGACAGGAGGGCAAGGCACGCCCTTAAGGTGGGAAGAAGTAATGGTTGAACCCTAATCTGAGAATAACTGAAGCACAATTTTTTCAAAATAGTAGCATACAGGTTTGATGGTGTCTTCATGTTTTCCTATTTAAAAAGAGACCATATACCTTCTGTACACCACGTGTTCCTGATTGCTCTTGGGGTGCTATTTCCCTTGTGTGCGAGTAAAGGTGCCAAAGAAACATGGCAGTGGCCCTACCCTGGTGGCCGGCTTGCCTGAACCCAGGCTCACGTGTAGGGGCAGCACTGCTGACACCCACCGGGTGCAGGTGGACAGTGGCTTGCCCAGTGTGACCTTGGCCCTGTGCCCAGCCTGCTCTGATCACCTCTGTCTAGAGGCCCCCACAGCTCTGGGTATCTAGGGCTGTCATCCAGGGGAAGGATCTATGGCAAGTGCAGACAGTGGCCTCGGGGACAGGTGAAGGGTGGCAGCAGCAGGCATAGCCACTCACTCCTTTCTTGCCCTGTGCAGGCCGAGAGTGGACCCTTCTCAGATGCAGACGGCTGGGGTATGGAGCCATCAGATAGCCTGGCTTTGGCAACCAGCTGGCAGAGGTGGGAGTCAAACCCTGGCCCGCCTGACCCCAGGTGCACTCTGACCCTTGCGGCCTGCCCAGCTCCCTGGGCAGTCATGGGGCACCACACAGCCACTGATGCCATTGTCCTGACCAGCTGGGCCCTGCTCCAGAGCAGCCAACCACTTGCAGCCACTTCAAAGATGCCCTGATGAAGAGAGGCTTGCCGAGTGCGGCTTGGAACGTGATGTCTCGACCACTGTCCTCCCTGAAACTCACGGACAGAGCATCAAACCCCAGCTTCTTCATCCGGCTCTGTCTGTGGGTCATCTGCGCTCAGGTGATAAGGGTGTGGACACTGGTACCCACACAGAGGTGAGTGCCAGAAAAAGCCTTCGTTTTCTTACCTAAGAAATGAAGTGGTTAAACTAGTTCTGTGGTTTTTACATTTTTTTAAAAAAGTGAAAAAAAATCTTCTCAGAAAAAATTTCAAAAAGTATCCTTGATGAGAACCCTGACATGGAAAGTGGAGCTTCTCAGGTGGAAGCGGAAGCGGGGGGGGGGGGGGGGCCACGACAACGGCCCTGCAGCCCTGTCCCCAGCCACAGCCAAAGAGCCTGGCAACAAATACAGGCTCAGGTCCCCCAGGTCCCCTAGGCTCACCCAGAATGCAAAGAAAGGGTAGGCATGAGGAAAAGCAGAAGATCGCATTCCTTCTCTGAGAGGCTCCTGTTTGGGTGAAGGGCACCTTCTGAGACGGACACGGGGGAGGTCCCCAGTGCAAAGTCGAGCTTCAATTCAGAGCAGCCTACACCACTATGGAGTCTGCACTGCTGGAGAATAACTTCACATCTATATATGTACATTCTGTATTTCTCATCATGAAGTTTAATTGCTTTCTTTCCAAAGCATATAAATAAATGTGAGTTAAGAAAATAGCACATTTTCAGTAGAAGACCAATAATGACCATTGGAAGTCTACCTAACACCCATGTTCCCAAGAGCAGTCTTTGCAGAATGGTTTATAGAGGTGCAGGAAAGACTTTAAGGGACGTGAACAAGCACAAAAAACAACATTCAGGCTCTGGGGATCAACATCTGACGCTCAAATTTCACAGGGCTTTAGGAGGCTCAGGAGGGCACCCACATATTCCCATGAGTATCTGGTGCTTTGACGTAAGGAATGTTCCAAATCCATGGCCGATCTGGGGAAAGAACACATCACATGTATGAACAGGACACAGGAAAGCCTTTTGCCGAGGGGATGAGAGCAGTGCCTGTTGAACTCTCCAACCCAGAAGGAATGTATCCTGGATGGGCCCCGGCGGTGCTCCCTGCAGACAATGCAAAGGTCAGTTAGGACATGGGCCGAGCACCTGGAGAGACAGGGGGCTAGCGGGACCCCAGAGGCAAATCTTGGCCCTGCCACTGAGATGAGGTGCACTTTGAGTCACTTTGTCAAGCCGGACCCAGTTTCCTCATCTGCACCTCTGTTGAGGAACTGTCACAAGGAACAGATGAGACGAATCATGACCTGTGGAAGACAGCATCTGCCACATGGCAAAGATGCAGCCCACCTCAGCTGTCACTTTTTCTTTCAGGAAGCTACAAACGGCAACAGTAACTGGTGCAGTCTTTGTTGATGCTGCTGGAGGTTCACACTGCTGAGGCACAAAGTCCCTGGGCCTGGCTGCAGACCCATGTCAGCATGCCCCGCAGGGCATGCTGGAGAGAATGCTGAGGACCTGAGACCAAAGGCCACGTCCATCCTGCCCAGTCCCTTAGTGAAGGCACTGGGTTTTAGGCTCAGTTTCCTCCTGTGAAACTGGAAATGGTTACCTTCACCGTGGCCAGGGATTACTATGAAGCTAAATGAGAACATCTGTGAACGTTTCTGGCATGTTGCAGGTGCTTGAGAAACAGGAATTTTTCTTCTTTTAACTGAATTTTCCAGAAAAGGAAAATAACTTCAACAAATTACTCTTGCTATGCATCACTACAGCTAGAGTCACACCATTTCGGAAGCACCATAATAACGTGGGTAGGGTATAAATATATCACAGGGATTAAAAATAAATCCCCAACTTAAAGGGCTGCAGGACTTATTGTAGACTGCCCCTCCCAGGCTCAAAGAGACTGCCAGGCTACTGCAGCAGACTGCAACATCACCTTCTTGGGGGCCGTTCCCCTTCTCCTCCACAGAGGGACGGCAGCTCAGGGGACAGCTGGGCAAATAATGGTATCTGTTACTGCTCCTTGCAGTGGCCTTACTGATTGTGTTCAGTAATCTCAGAGCAATCACATAAACAGCAGCACCCAGCAGGATGTGCAAGAGAAGAATTCCACCGATGGCAACAAATTATCGGAACACTGTTGCCTGCCTTTGGCCTTGGCAAGGCTGGAAAACCTGAAACTAAACTCTCTTTGTTAATTTAACAAGCCTGTTGGAGAGCAGCGAGCCTGCTTTGTGTTTGGTCCAGGAGAGGTTGAGGGACTGGCTGGTGAGGGATGCCAGCCTGACTCCTCACTGCTTTGACCAAATCCTCATTCTCTTCAATTTAAGACACATCTTCTGGGCTATAGTCCCTATTATTTACCGATTTTACTGCTCTGTGCGATTTTACTGCTCTGTGTAGTAACAGCTCCAAGGCAGAGGGAATGAAGTAGTTAAGAGTGATGCTCTTCACAGTACTGCAGGATCTGTGATGTGGACATTAACTGACCAGGAACATAAAGATAGAAACTCTATTTACTTTTTCCTCAAAAGTAGGCAATAATGACCAAGCAAGGGTCTGATAACTGCCTTGTTTGCAAATCTCCCGCAGTTCTGCTTTATAAATGAGAATGTCTGCATGGTGGGCTGGTCATCCGTTACGCTGGCTGACAAGTCTACACAAACTAGAGGGAAAGCCAAAAAACAGCCACAGGGGCAGGAGTGTGGCTGGGACTCTGCTTCTTTTTACTCTCTGCTACACCACATCAGCTTTTAATAGTGGTCTAGAGGAAACTTACGCAATCCTCCTAAATTGTTCCATGAGAGAATAACTGATCTTATAATACATTTATGCATATTGAAGAGCTAGTTAGATGTCAGGCACTTTGCTGCGTGCTGGGGATAGAGTGGGGAGAAAAGTCGGACATGCAGGCCTCGTGCAGCTTGCAGCCCAGATGAACAGGCTGCCATAAGGGTGGCGCTCTGACAATGACCGTGTCTGCAGGGTGGGTCCCTAACCCGGCCCATAAGATAATCACTTATCGGAGTAAGTGCATTTCCCAGGACCCACACCAGGCTGGCCCGGCCACGTGCACTTGTATCCAATTCTGGAGATGATCTGGCCGCAGTCAGAGTTTGGCCTTTTGTTTTTTTGTTTTGCAGAACCGGGGATTGAACTCAGGACCCTGCACTTGCCAGGCAAGTGCTTATTCTACTGAGCTATCTCCCCGGCCTGCAGTCAGAGTTTAGGATGAAAGACAGAAGGTGATGTGATAGCTTTGTTCTCCTGGAATATTATCGATAAGATTACAAATGGGAGAGGGACATGAGCAGGTGTGTGGCAGTAGGGTAGAGGCTGGCTTCCGGTGGGAGGAAAGAGACCACCATGAGGAACAAGGGCAAGGTCTGGTGGGAAATGAGGCCTGGTCAGGGCTGTGGCCAGAAGGCTGGGAATGACAGCCCGGCGGGCTTCAGAATCTTTGCCTCTACCCCATCGGCCTAGGGCTAGATTGTGCGATCTCATGCCCTTTTGCTATCAACTGCAGAACTCAGTGCCAAGTTCAGGTTTCTTCCTGGAACTGGGGATGGCACTGCAGTAGAGCGTGTAGCTGTGAGGACACCATGACGTAGCTCACGTAGTGTGCACACACTGGCTCCTGGTGCACGAACAGTGCTTAGTGCAGTGCTGCTCACCACTGTTATGATTACCACTGTCTCAACTCCCAGGGCTTGGGGACCATCACTGTCCTATATGCTGTAGGCTTCTTGTCAGTTTCTTTTTTCTTTTTTTTTTTTTTAAAAAGGCTTACATCTTTTTTAATCTTTATTTTTTGTCTCTTTTTTTTAATGAGCAGAATATTTCTATTGAGGGAAAGAAACTCCTGTCTAGGAGAGGGACAGGAGGGGGTCCCGAGTGAGTGGTCCCCATTTTTTTTTCTTTTGGCAGAACTGGGGATTGAATTTAAGCCCTGTGCTTGCCAGGGAAGCACTTATTCCACTAAACCATCTCCCCGGCCCTCTTGTGAGTTTCTAACTATCAGATAAATTTTAAAAATTGGTAATTTTGCTTCATGAGACTTCTTGAAAAACTACTGCTCCTATTAGCACAGTGGGTTTGGTTGTGCACAACCTGAGGAGACGGCTCGGACCTTCCTGCTCGCCAATATACACCCAGGCACCCAGGGAGCGCCCGCACAGGAAGGCTGTCTATGTGAACCTGCAGGGCAGTGGATAACAGCAACTGCTACATGAAAGAAGGAGCCCTGGCAGCTCTGTTTTAGTTTCTGCTTCACTTTATTTGATCATTTTTTGGGTTTCAAGATGTCTTTGCCTAACTTTTCAAGGCAGGTGTTTTTGTTCTGTTTTGCTTTGCAGAATTAGTAATCACTGTAATAAGAACAATTATGTAAACTCCAAGTTAGACACAGTGTCAAGCACATTACAGACACCATCTCAGGCAATTTTTTTTTTTTTAAGCAACCTGTAAGGTAGGCACTCACACTAACCCATTTTGTGCAGATGGACAAGGGCCTAGAAAAGCAACTGCTCAAGGCCACTTAGAAAGTTGTAGAGCCGGCGCATGAACCTGGCCTGGCTTAGAAGCATGGTTTCCCTCTTCAGTGTTTCAGTAGTAGGAAGGGTGATCACAGATTTTTGGAAATCCTGGTAAAATCTATATGCCCATGCTAATAGAAATGTTTATGAACACACAACAAACTTGGTGGATTTGACAGGCCACACTGCTTGGCCACCTGGGAGGCTGGATCTGGGTGGGGTGTGGCTGTGAGGACGTGGGACCAGCCCTGGCTATTCGCAGGGACTTCCGGTGTACAACATAGCATGGTCACTGTCCTTTGGAAAGTCAGTCTAGGGCAGCAGTTTTTCAAAGGGTGGCATGGGGCCCTTACTAGGCCATTATGTGCTGTGCTCATGGTCACATCCACTGCAGTGTGCAGCAGGGGGTGACACAATACAAAACTGAGCAGTGGTGACAGTTCAGGGGTCACTTAGGACGCACAATGATATTTGTCTTTTTTTTTTTTTTGAACAGGGGATTGAACTCAGGTCCTTGCGCTTGCCAGGGAAGCACTTATTCCACTGAGCCATCTCCCGGCCCCAGGACGCACAATGAGAGGCTCGCGAAAACATTTAAATAACACTCTGCTTGCTACTTTTTATAATTTTAGAAACAGTTCCTTTTATAATTTTAGAAACAGTACTTTTTATAATTTAAAAAAAGTTGAAATGGATTTATTATTTTTATTTTGCCTACACTGGGGATTGGACCCTGGGCCTTCACCCTGAGTTACAATTCCAGCCCTTAAAAAAAAAAAAAAAAAAAAAAAAAATTGTGTTTTTTGAGACAGGGTTTCTCTAAGTCACTAAGTTTCCTAGGCTAGGTTTGAATTTGTCATCTTCCTGCCTCCCACAGTGCTGGGATTACAGGCCTGTACCACCATGCTTGGCCCAAATTAATAAGCTAACAAACATTTCTTGGTTTAAATTTCTTTTCTTTCCTTTTTTTAAAAATGAATTTAGGGCAGGGTCTCTAGGGTCTCACTATGTAGATCAGACTTGTAGATTCTCCTGTTTTTAGTCTCCCAAGTGCTGGGATTATAGGCGCGCACCACCAGGCCCAGTCTCAATCTCCCTCAGTGAGTCCTGGGGGCGGGGCCGGCATGGCATGCCAGGGATCAAACCCTGGCCACTGCGCTCTGCCTAAAAGGCGCTTTCGTCCGCTAAGCTCTCTGGGCAGCCCTCTTGGTTTAAATTTCTAATGTGGTAAATATGAATAGATTGGAAGCCTCATGTAACTAAAATCTCTTTAGGCTTTTCAATAATTGTGAGACCACAAAAGCATTTCAAGATCCACCAGTTTGAGGCTGCAGCTCCAGTGGCCCCAACAGAATGCTGCCACCCTGACCCTGAAAGGATCCAGAGCCAGACTCCCACTGAGACGAAACGAAAGCCTCCCCTGGGCTCTGCTGCTTCCTCCACAACGCACCCACCCTGGGTCCCTGCGTCTGTGTCTCACCTTTACTCCCGTACAGCTCGGGGGGCAGATCGTATGGCACAGGGAAGGCGGGAGTGGGATCCTGGTCATCAGAGAAGAATTTCTGCTTCACTTTGAAGCTGTCCAGGCCCTGCAGACACACAGAGGGAATCCATGATTGCATTCCACTTTCTAAAAGGAGCCAGAAGATCCCAAGAAATGATTATATCCTTTTGACATCCACAGAAATAAAAAAATAAAAAAATCTGAGTGATTTCAGAGCTATTTTCAATGTCTGATAGGCAAATACATTTGTAGCTCTTCCAAACTATTATCTTTCCTAAAAATAAGAGGCTTACATTTTAGGATTTAAAGATTTTCAAGAGTTTAACAAAAGATGTGAGAGAATGAAAAGAAACGGTATTGGGGGTTACAGCCCGTTCTATTAGCTGCTCTGTACAGCTGGCAGGGAGTCTGTAGAATTCACTGTATAAAAATACCTCAAAATACTTTCAATATTGCTATAGTAACGGCTGCTGGCTCTGTAGTAAGAAGTAAAAGTTGTTCTCATGTATAATGAAAGTGTTCCAGCAGGAATACAAAAATGAAAGATTTTCAGTAACTACCAAATGGAAGGTTTACTCTGCGACCTCCTGAGCAGGGTGCTAACCTCAGGTGTGCCCGAGTGGATGTGGAGGGGCCCCCGCCCAGGCTGATGTGCACGCTGCCTCCGCACACGGGAATCTTCTAGGCCTTTTGGCTCACCCTGGCACTTTTTTAGTCTGTCCAACTATCTCTCACACCCCAAGCCCATCCCTCATGTCCTAAATACCCAACAGTGCTACCGTCTTGGGAAGGAGGAAAAGAGCAGGTACTAGTACCAGGGTTCTGGTCTCTGTGGTCACATTTGGGGACTTTGGCCTAGGGCACAGCATGGGTGGAACATGGCCAGAGTTGCTCAGACCTTGGCCTCAGATGTGCCAAGTCCTAGCCTATGCTCTGGTGCTTACTATGCTGTGTGCATGGCTGATACCTGCATTCAATCATTCTCCAGAAAGCTAAAAGGATGGAGGAGCCCCAAAGCCTAAGCCCATCACACTTATTTCATGTCACTGTGTAATCTGCTGTTACTAACCCCCTGTGGTAGGGGCTTATGTGTGCAATAGGACAATGAAAGGGAAGGCGCTGACCACAACTTCTGCCCACATGAAAGTGGAATATAGTGTAAAAAGGGCGTGAAAAGCAGCAAGCCCCCAAATGTGTCAGGCGTCCAGGATGCCTAGATTACAAATGCTAAGGTTTCACAGAGCATGGGAAAGGAAAACACATGACAAGCTCCACTTCTGGCCTGCCCCTCACTCTTCCACAGGAGGTCCTCCCTGGGTGCCCAAGATCCCATACACACTCACATACTTGGACCCAGGGGACCTTGGGAGTTTTGGCTGCTTGATGCCCAAGTTTCTGATTTGCTCAACTCAAAAGAACACCTTTCTCTTTGGCTGGAACTACTGTCCCAGGGTTCCCGCTGGCACAAGTCTGGGGCAAGGTCCAGTGGTGCAGAGGCTAATGCAGTGCTCTGCTGGGTGAGGTATGTGACACACAGTAGCCACTGTTATCCCTGTCCTCATGGAGCGTACAGTCTGGGGAGAAACACTGAGCAGGTACATCTGTGAAAGATAAATAACCATAATTTGTGGCAAGCACTGTGGGGACATTCAGGAGTAATGAGAGAACAAAGGGGCTCTGGCAGTGGATTTGGGGAAGGAGGCAGAGGATGGTCGGCTGAACCCTCCCCTGGACAGGGGACACTCATTAATCTCTGGAAGAGGGGGCTGGCAAGATAGCTCAGCAGACTAAGAGCCTACTTAGGCAAGTGCAGGGACTGGGGTTCGATAGCCAGAACCACATGCTGTACTGGCCCTGCCCCCGGGTGGGCTGTGCCAGCCACAGACTAGGTGTGGTGGTACATGCCTGTAATCCCAGCCCTGGGGAGGCTGAAAACAGGAGGATCACTACAAGTCTGAGCTGTGTAATGAGACCCTGTACCAAATAATTAAAAAAAAAATCTCTGGAAGAACAGAGCTTGAGTGGGAGTGGGGAGAATAACGTTCCAGGTGGAGGGAACAGCAGGGGTGGGGGGTGGGCTATGAACTTCCAGGAACAGATTATGTTGGGCAGGTGGCTACTTGTGCATTGGTCTAAATTTTCTCACTCATGGGGCAGGATGAAAGCTCCCTGGTTGATGTTTCTAACTTTGGAGTCCAGCATGAGTCCAGGTGTGTAGTAGGTTTGAAAGACACACTAAGCTGCAGCTGCAGGACCATAGCATCTCCCCAGCTCTGTTGGCTTCTGTGTGGAAACACGCGGAATATGTGGGGGAAAGTGGGTCCTGTGTGCTAAGACCCACAGGAAGAGAGGCCATGGCCTCTGATGGAGATGCTGATGAAAACGCAGAGCAAGGTGGTATGTCAAATGTGCCTGGCACAAACACCAGACATGAAAGGAAGCATGACCTATTTCTAGTAGCAGGATAAGGAAAGGCTTTGTAGAAAATAGTGTTTTAGCTGGGCTTTGAAAAACTGGTATAATTTTGGTAAACAGAGTGATGATAGGGAAGAACACCAGAAAAGAGGGCAGCATAATACAGGACAGAATGAGAAAGGAACACAGCAGGCACGTCTGGGGGTGGAGGACCTTAACACTGGGAAGACTCAGGCTGCAGAGGTTTGAGTGGCTGGCAGCATGGACATTTGTGGCCGGTACCTACTAAGCCACAATCATTCTCGGGAGGTGGGGCTCTCATGTCCACCAAGTGGAGGAGGACACCAGAACCCTGAGGGTGTGGCCCTGAGGTGGAGCTCCTGGATTCAAGCCTTCTACCTGAAGGGACTCTGCTTTGCTTTGTTGCTTATACTTGTTGGGCTGAATTTCTGTCACAGCCCACAGACCTTGGTGAGGGAGGAGCCTTTATTTCTCCACATGGTGAGAAATGGCAGAAGGCTTCAGAATATAAATGCTCCAGTGGGAAGGCCAACTGCAGCAGTGTGGAGAGCGACTTAGTCAGGGATACCCTAGAGACCAAGCGTCACATGAGGACAGACAAGGGAGCAGGGACTGTAGGAGCGGTACAGCAAGAAGTTCAGAAAGAAAGCAAGGTGAGTCAGCGCATGCAAACAGGCGCAGGGGTCAGGGGTTCGATCCCCAGGCATGGCATGTTGGGCCCGCCCTTGGGGTGTGTTGGGATGGCAACTGAGACTGGGCTTGGTGGTACGCACCTGTAATCCCAGCTCTTGGGAGTCTGATCTAGTAGTGAGACCCTGAACACCCTGGAAACCCTTCCCTAAAATTAAAAAAAAAAAAAAAAAAGTCAGACAAAGGAAAACAAAAAATAAAGTGAGGTGAGCCCGGACAAAGGATATCCATGGAAAGAAAGAAATGAATTGATAAGAGACTAAAAGAAAATAAAAATCAGGGGCTCGTGAAGGCAGGGAAGAGGAGGAAGCAGGCTGGGAGTAGGGCCTCCAGGAGGCATTGAGCCTGGTCACTGAAGGCCATCAGTCTCTTCCCTGCCCCGTACTTCTTCTACTCAGCCAGGGGCTACTCAGCAGCTCCTCCAGGACCAGCTCCTCCTCACATCGTACCCTTGACACTTTCTAGATCCGAGGAAATCCTTCATAACCCCTTACATGGTAGATCACTTACTTGCTGTGGGACTCCAGGCAATTATTTCACTTTTCTGGGCCTTGGTTTATCAAATGCAGACAGTGATGGCATTTAATTTGTGAGGCCACGTTATTGAGAACAGTGACTGGCATGCAGTAAGTATTTCAGAAAATCAATAGTATGACTGTAAAAATACCCGTTTTACAGAGGAGGAACCAAATGTAGAGTGTAAGTAGTGGTGCAGGCCACACAGCTGTCTAAAGCAGCATGGCTAGAGGTGGAACTCTGTCTTTCCGATTCTGGGTTCTGTGCTGCTTCTACTAAGTTCCCACAAATAGTCTCCCGTTCAGTACAGAAACCGTAACATTGAAAGAAGTCCTTGTAAATCAGAGTCGGCACGAAGGCAGGCCCACACCCGGATGAGCCAGCCTTGGAAATTCTGGTAGAAGTGGCCAGAGGCTGAGAAGTGGTGCCAATTTAGGGATCATTAACTACTTTAAGTAAAAAATATTTACATCCCTCATCTCCTAGCTTACTGGTTACTTCCATCTCTATCACGGCAATGGAAGCTTCTTTGCAACCTGGACCAGATCCCGTGCCTACATGTTTTGACCCAGGATTCCATTTTGTGGAGTCTGACCTCAGATAGAAGAGCTGAACCTCAGACACAAGAGTCTGACAGGAAGCAATATGCTTTCTTCTTGAATGCCATTTTTGATCCAAATTCTAGGGTATTATGCCAAAAAAAAAAGTATCACTTTTCCTTTCAATCTGGATGTCAAATAATTTGAGGCTGCCTTCTAATTATCATTATTTATATATCACAGTGGTATTGCATGACATTTTACAAAACAGTGGAAGGCACCCTCCCAGGCACAGATACTGAAAAGACAGCTAAGATCATACATTTATAAAACACCAGGTGAGAGGGTGGACACATATCACACAGGAGAAATTGCTAGCTTTTCCCTTCCTCAGCTTTGGTAGTGAAAGTGGTGGTTATGGTTTGGTTTGGGAGCTCGGCTCGTCACAGGGAACAAGTGACCTGCCCAGATTTCAGCTACAGATGCTGCTGGTTATTTTTTTCTTTCTTTCTTTCTTTTGGTGGAACCAGGGATTGAACTCAGGCCCTTGCGCTTGCCAAGGAAGCACTTATTCTATTGAGCCATCTTCCCGGCCCCCATGCTGCTGGTTTTGATGACCACACACATCTAGCAGTAACAGTGATGGGGAAAACCTACACACACTGCATCCGGTTTTCTGGGTGTTACAGTTTGTGTCTAGTTGTCCACCCAAAGCCTCATGCAGTCATGGGGCAGCTTCTAGAGTCTGTGATTAACTCATGATCCACTGGGATAATGGGTGTGAGTGCTGCTGGGATTATGGGTGTGAGTGCTGTGCCCAGCCTGGGGCACAGAGCCTGAATGCAACGTAAGAGAGAAGGACTCGCTCTGTGTAGCCACTGTTGCCACTGCTCCTCCCATTTGC